TGTCACCGGCCCCGCAGCTGTGCAGAGAGCCATGTGCAGCCCTGCTATCGCAGCCCCAGTCACTCACTCACCGGCTGGGAGTATTAGGGACTGTCCCCCAGCAGAAGCCATTCAGCAGCGGTCTGGCCTCTCCTGCACCTGGGCCCTCGTACTCCTCTTTGCAGTCCTGGCCAGGGGTCTCTGCTCTGCTGGGCCAAGGCTGTAGCCTCCTCTGTACCTTGTGCCTGGGTGTCTCAGAGCCCTTAGCTGGGCAAGGAGCCCCCTGCAGCCCCGCTGTCAGCACTGACCTTACCCTACCCCCCCCCCCAATTTCCCACGACAGTGAAAATTGAAATTGCTTAAAATCAAAATTGATATTAATTGTGGAAATTGGAAAAAAAATAAATGTCAACTTCTGCCAAGCCTAATTGTAATATGAATTCTGTCTCCGACATGGGAATGATTGAAATAGTTCCTTATCTGATGGCATCTAAAATTAATTAAGATTCTTGATTATGCAGACAAAGGTCCAGACTAAAAGATTTGGATTTAGTTCCAAATTTTGGTTGCTAGTGTTTGCACCTAAGATTTTTGGATTAGCCCATTGTGAGAGGCTAGAAACATAGGTAAGAAACAATGATCATCCCTAATGAAATGTTCTTCAAATCAGAAGTGTCATGTTACTTAGCGTTCACTTAGCTGGGTTAGCTGTATACTTTGTGTTAAAAGTGTTAGTAAATACCTTAATACAAAAAATGGAGCTGGAGAGTGCAAGTTTGTGAAGACTGGCTTCTGGTTTAGATTTTTAGATTTTAAGGATGGAAGGAACCCTTATGATCATGTAATCTATCCAGAGGTGGATTACGGTTTTGTGGGACCCTGGGCCAGAGCAAGTGGGGGCCCCTCCTCACCCCTTCCGCCTGCAGTCTCACCCCTCCCACCCCCCACCCCCGGTGCTCCTGCTGGGGAAATGGGGTCGGGGCACAGGGGGTTGCTCCACCCCCCATCCTAGCACTCCTGCTGGGGAGTGGGGTCGGGGCATGGGGGCTTGGCCCACTCCACCCGCCTGGCGCTCCTGCTGGGGAGTGGGTTGTGGGGGCAGGGGCTTCCCAACAGGAACGCCAGGCAGACAGAGCGGCTCAGGACACAGAGCCCATTTTTCTGGGACCCCCCAATTGGCCGGGGCCCCTGGGCATGGGCCCCATTGGCCCAGTGGCTAATTCGTTTCTGAGTCTATCCTCCTGTGTAACATAGGCTGGGGAATTCCACTGTAAACCATAGAAGTTTCCAAAGCTTGCATGTGTTTGGGTCAAAGTGTTTGATTTAGATCCATTTCTATTAAGTAAGCAACAAAAGAAGAGTGTGCAGTTAGATCAAGATACCCTAGAAGAATAAGCAGTATCAATGAAAAAGACCTATTTGTTCCTCTACCTTATGGATTGTTCTCTGTGTAGATACCCATTCAGCATAAGTACATTCAGTCTCTAGAGAGAAGAAGAAATTTACCGCCACCAACACTTCTAGTTTCACACTTCTGGCCAGATGTGTTATGGGTGTTTTCACCCTTTCTCTGGAATATCATATATTGAACAGTGCTGGAGGCCAGTACCAGACCTGATGTCTGATGTCGTATGGTGAATTCTATGTAACATGTTGTTTGTGTTGAAAGAGGCCCAGTTTACATTACTGCCGTGTTAGTTTCTGTCTTTGGAAAACATGTTCATTTCTATATGAACAATATTTTAAAAGTATGAGGTTAAGCTGGGACTTACATTTTGATCACATTCTGAGTTCTTTGTACTGTTGTGTACAGCGAAGCTGTAGCTTCATGTCCGTCTGTGTCTGTCCTGTTACCATAGTGAGATGCCCTTGTTTCAACTCCGAGAGAGTGTATCCTGGAGAAAATGAATGTATTTCTGGCCGTTATCCTGTGTGAATCCTTGGTGGGGGAGAATGTGTCTGTTGCTGGGGAAGAGTGATTTACAGCAGCATTCTTGCTGAAAATCTCCGCTGATAAAATGCTTTGGGGACAAATGGCTCTTGGTTTCTGTGCAATTGAGTTCAGCTAATGAACAAGGCAGCAGATGGCAATTAGAGGACAGCTGGGCTTTCCAAGGGAGCCTTTGGTCTAAGAAACAAAGAAGAAGAGAGTTTAGTAGGGGTTGAGGCAGAAGGTACTCACACACGAGTGGTGCCGTGAAAACAAGATTTCCAAACTCACTACATTTATTTAGCCTTCAGACTAAGGGAGGGTAACTTAGAATCTCTTCCTGGGCCTCAGAAGCCAGTGCCAGTAGCACATCATGGAATCTACCAGGAAGGAGTTTTCACGTGAGAGGTATGGTTGGAACCTGGGGCAGGAGAATGAAAGGATTAGAGGTTGTCGTCAGCATGGTGAACCTGGGCACCTAGGGAGCCCGGGATGGCTTTCTTGGTTGCACTTAAACCTGCTGTAAATCCTCTGAAATTGGGGTAGGTGGAGACTTGATTGTGGGTGGAGCCTGAGAATACCCCCACTCTGTCTTCCCAAATTGACTCTGGGATATGGGGTTTTGTTTTGTGCTCCTCTCTAGCTCTGATGAGACGTCTAGGCATTGATTTTCAAAGGGGCCTTAGGGAGCTGGACTCCTAACTCCCTTAGGACAAATCCTATTGTAAGCAGTCAATGAAGCTTAACCTCGCTGGGCCAGACGTACGTTAGTTGTAACCCAGGTGTCAATTTATTTTGGTTTTTAAAACAAGCTCTTTCACTTTGATTTCACTTAAAATTCAAAATGGAATTCAGGTGGAGTGGCCATTATAGAGGAGAAAAGCCTTCAGACTATGAAATGGCAACGTGTATTTAGACTGAGAGACTTTCAGGTGCAGACTGTTTCTTGTAGAGCACATTAGGTGTGCCCAGTAAATGATGAGGATCATACTGGTTTCATCTCTTTATGGTGGCTGCAGAATGCAACTCTTCATTGAGTGCTGGTCCCTGTGGGTACTCACTGTGCGTGAGTTGATGCTCCATGCGCATGAAACCAGAAGACTCTTCAGAGTTCATTGGTCCATGCCTATGCCTTTATCTCGCCCTCTATTGATTAACTCTGAACTGGGAATATAAGAGGCAGCACGGACAAACTGCTTCTCCAATTCCTTCCTATTGCTCATGGTCAAGCCTCCATACGTACGCTCCTTGAGCACTGTGCTGAGGACTATGGAGCCAGTTGTCTTCTAAAGTAATTAATAAAACGTCCACCATCCCAACAGGTGCTTTTGCTGGCAGGCCCACTACACCTGATACTAATTGGCCCCGTTGCTGTCAATCTCAGCAGTGAGGCCATTGATTAAATGGGGCATGGAGGCTAACCTGTCCTCTCAGCCTCTAGGAAAGGGACTTGTCGATAGAGCTGTGTGGGGAAAGCTTGCGCTGCTGCTGTTGCCTGTGTTGTCCTTGTTCAGGGGATAAACATTGGCATCTAAGGCTGTCAACCCTGCAAAACTCACTCTTTATATAATATACCCTGGGAACGACTCTTTTTCAAAAATGTCATTGTCTGACCCCAGTGCTGAAGTTTTATTATTAAAGCAGTGAACAGTTTAGAATGCAACCTGATGCCCAGCTAGTGGTGCAACTGTAAGACAGGAAAAAGCTGGCATGAAGGAGTAATACGGTGTCTTGCTCTCTGTCACTTTCAATCCATCACCGACATTCTCGCTGGCCTGTATTGTTCCACTCAGAACGGGTTTTCAGCAAAGCAGGTCAGCAAACACATGGTCCCCTCCCATCTACTCACTAATTGACTGGAAATAAAGCAATGGACAAGACACATTAACTCTGTGATTTCAGGCCCATCACTTCGGTGGTGTCTGATGGACACAGTAATGGACACAGTACTGGTTCTGGGGTCACAGTAATTAAGGCTAATGTGTTATTAGAAATCTACCAGTAGCTTTGATTTGGTGCCTCAAATCAGCCACCTAGTGAGGTTTAAGTGCCTTTAAAGCAGTGGCTAGTATAAGGAATGGATTCCCCATTATGAACTTTTCTAGCTAATGGCTGTATGGTATGGTGCTGTGGGATCTCAGGGTGTTGCTTCATACGGGTCTTGACCTAGTACTAGCTGAATTCAAACTCTGCAACTTAGAAATTACAGTTATGGTGCCTTGTCTTGCCTGCTGATCACCCTCAATTTCCAACTGAAGGCCATGGGTGACAGGGTTTGAACCCAGAACAGTTAATCTACCTCTTTGCTTTGATCTGCTGTTCATCTGGAAATCTCTTGCTTGCTTCTGCTGGGACACAGCCTAGCACACTGATCGCTCACAAGCGCTTGATGTGAACAGATCATTCCAGTTAGTGTGAATGCCTAGCATTCACAGAGCGTATCCCAGGAACCCATCTCTGTTCAGAGGTCCCAACGGAGAATGAAATGGTTTCCTCCTTTGGGCTACAGTTCACATTCCATAAAGCCGCATGGACGGGGCTGGGCTTTCCCCCACTGTGCAGAGACCAAACAGTGTTGATTCTGGGTGACAGAAGAGTTCTCAACTTTTGGGGTTGGTGGTTTTTATTAGTCGTTTAACAGAATAATAATCTAAAGCCCAAGAAGTACCTTCTGTACCTAGTCTCCTGAGCCAGGTGGTGCTTATTTCACAACAATCAAAGTGCATAGATCTTTGATGGAATGGACTCCGTGGATATTTTGCAGTTGACTTCAGTGGGAGCAAGATCAGACTCCCAGAGCTCAATAGTTGAGGTGATCTGAAAACATTTGTTTGATGGTTTCCTGCCTATATGCCATTGAAGAACGGACATTTACTGCCCCAAGAACTTGCTTTTACAGCCAAATGGGAAATAACATGAATAGCGTAACTACTGAGGGTGGTGCCCCAACTGTTCATCAGCAACCAGAGAACAGAATCACTTGGAAATCCTTCATTTTTATTAACAGTCTCAGTTCAGGAGGGGTGGTGGAATTACAAAATCAAATTGCAGCTCAGACATTGAACTTATGAACATTTGTTGTTTCCTGCAGTGACCTTTGACCACTTTGAAATTTTGCGAGCCATTGGGAAAGGCAGCTTTGGAAAGGTAAGCTCCTCAAGAGTAAAACTACTGTATGCACAACAGAGACTGTAGCTAGCCAAGTACTGGGCACATCAGAGACGCTTACATTTGAGAGCTTATTGCAGAGTAATGGAATATTGCTTGTCGATGAGATTTGACCTGAACTTCAACTCCTAATAATCCAGGAAGAGTTTCTAAGTTTGACTCATCATCCATTTGGAATCCCCAACTTCTATTACAAGATATTAAACTGCAGTTAATGATAAACCCAATCAGCTGACTTTCATTATGTTAGATGGGTAAACATCCTCCGAATGGAGACTCCCCCACCAAAGCCCACTTGAGCATCCTGGTGTCTCCTTGACAAAGCACTATGATTCTCCGAGAGCAGCACTGCAGGGAGCAAAGAAACATCTGTGTTTGAAATCCCACTTTGGGGATTTAAACATCGTGTTAGGGCTGTGGGTTTTTTCAGTAGGGTGATTTCTATGACAAAACCCATGTCTGGAAGATGCCAAAAGCCCAGAGGTTTGATGGATCAGCTGTGCTACACTAGAAAGATTGTGCTGATCCTTATAGATAGGAGATGATGTCCCACTAGTACTCACAAGTCCTGCCTGCAGGGAGTGAGGCTGTCTCGGTGAATGCCCTCAGCTCCTACCCTACAGTCCTGCTTGGCGAAAGGGAGGCTCAGGGAGCAGCATGCAACACATGAATGATGGATAATTATGGGGAAAAAGAGATTAGTCAGTCAGTTGATAAACCTGCAATACCCCAACTTTGCTTTGACAAACTCTGTACTCTAACTATGATTCTTCTTAGCATGAATATTGAATGCAGCACTTACAGGTGATGTGCAGGGTTAAATCATAAGAGCATGGGGGTGTGACCTAGTGACACGAATCTCATTGAAGTTAACAATAGGGTGCTCATAAGGGCACATTTCACCTGCACAAACTTGCTTTCATGTCTCCTAGCTACTCTGCCCAGTCTAACATCTTGGTTTGCTCACTTAGGTCTGCATTGTACAGAAGAATGACACCAAGAAAATGTACGCCATGAAATACATGAACAAACAGAAATGTGTGGAGCGTAATGAAGTGAGAAATGTGTTCAAAGAGCTGCAGATTATGCAGGGCCTGGAACACCCCTTCCTGGTTAATTTGTGGTAAGTCATTAGTACTTTCTTTATACCTTTTCCATTTATTAGGAGCCTGCCTTTCAGGGGGGCTGAGCTCTTATCGACGTCAGTTGAAGCGGAGGCTGCTCAGCAACTCTGAAAACCTAGGAGGTTTTTTTTTAAAAATCCCTGTTTATAAAAAAAGCTGTGTTTCTAGTATGTGCCTTTTTGGTTCCCTTGTGGCTAGTCTCCAGGGGTGTCTCCGACTGCCCGTAACCCAGTTTTATTTGACTCAGCTCCTTGATAAAAACAGCTTCCATTTCTAGCTGGAAATACAATTGGACTCAGATTCAAACGGTGCTCCCAGAATGGGGCCCCCTTCCAGCTCCTATTTAGTTGAATGGATACCCACTGGCCTGAGGCAGCAGGTGCCCACTCCTTCCAGTTTTATTCCTCTCACAGTGGAGGCTGCCATGTCTTGCCTGGCAAAGTACAAATGCAATAGATTTTGCCCTGAGCTTTCTTTTTGCTGTGAAACAGTCACCTTTTGTGCCAAAGGGCCTTGGTGGACACCAAATGGGTTAGACCAGGTCGGCAATGTTTGGCACATGGCTCGCCAGGGTAAGCACCCTGACGGGATGGGCCAGTTTATTTACCTGCTGACGCGGCAGGTTCGGCCGATCGCGGCCCCCACTCGCCGTGGTTCGCCGTCCCGGGCCAATGGGGGCGGCGAGAAACGGCGCGGGCCGAGGGATGTGCTGGCTGCGGCTTCCCGCCACCCCCATTGGCCCGGGACGGCGAACCACGGCCAGTGGGGGCCGCGATCGGCCGAACCTGCCACATCAGCAGGTAAATAAACTGGCCTGGCCCGCCAGGGTGCTCACCCTGGCGAGCCACGTGCCAAACGTTGCCGACCCCTGGGTTAGACAATCACTGGTCTCCCAGACATACAAAGGCCGAATATAGTCTTTAGAAAATTGACACGATATGCTTCCTCTGTGGCATTTATAATGCCCCAGTTTACAATAAATGAAGCTTGATCCTCGGAGGTGCAGAGCACCCATAACTCCCACTGATTTCAACTCTGCAGGATTGGGCCTCTCAAGCTATTAAACAAGCACCAGCCCCATGGCTGGAATAAAGAAACATTGCTGGCTTTTAATGCAGAGTGCGTTAACTTCCTGCGCTAATGTGATTGATAGCCTTGGTGAAAGGACTGGATGTTATTCAAACTGGCTCCCTCTTGGCAGCAGATAACCAGAAATCTAATATTAAAGAGTGGGGTAGAAGCATGCATCACCCACTAAGTACCTCGGTAGATCAATCTTAATCTCGATCAATGTTGGTCTTCATCTTTCCTGTCCCTCCCTTTGCTCCCCCCTGCCTCCCGGTTGCTATTTTGTGGTTTATTCTATGCCATCAAAAGCCAGCCTTAAAACCTTATTGATATTTGCTGAACTAATGCTATTCAGCAAAGATAAAAGCCTTTGTTCAGTGGACAGAAAAAAAAATCCACCACAATTCAGATTTTATTGCAGAAACTCAGATCTCTCTTTGGGAAATGTGCGCATAAAACAGTCTTTTTCCTTTAAGCATATTTGATCAATGCAGCCTATACAGCCTGTTTTCAGTGGTTTGCCAGCCATCAGCACTGGGATTGATCAACACAATGATAAGACATCTTAATCCTTCCATTTTCATTTGATTCAGCATGTTTTCCTGCAATAGCACAGTGGAACGAAGGTTTAAATAAGGCTCTGTTACTGTTAAAGCCAGACAATAATTTTATTAGGACATCAATAACATTTCCAATTGTCAGGGGCTTAGATATCATGTGACTTGCCTTTAATTACATAGCAGCTTAATAGAGTCAATTGGTAAATAACATATAACTAGAAGGTCCCTGCAGGATACTGGGTAATTACACTTATTAGCTCTAAAGGTAATTTTCAAATGGGGTAAAACATTCAAAACAAAACCCAAACCCGTAGGAATCTTGCTTGGTTACTTGGAGTTTTGAGTTAAAAACTCAAAACCCACTGAGGATCACAAATCTTTGGAATGATTCTGAGTTCATTTATGGTTTCTTATTGAAATCCTCTGAGATATGTCGTTTCAGTGCTAAAGCAGGTGAAATGTAATAATTTTGATGGATAGAGAACTCAAAGCAGAACTCAGCCATGCAAACCCAAGTAGCACAACATGAAAGGTGATGTTTATGCATAGACCATTCCAAAGCAAAACCTCGGAATTTACCATTTCTCTCATAATTATGGTTACCTCCAGCTCCCTTGTGGCCACATCCCCAAAATATGACAGCTAAGCTTTGCTTACGATCCATGGACCACATTTTTCACTGGATTATTTTGGTTGCTTGGTTTTGGTGATGTTTGCTGGTCTAACAAATTGATGAGATGCCAGCATGAATAGCCAATAGAAGGATGCTGCCCACAGCTGATCAATAGAGTTGTCTTGTGGGATACTTAGGAAACCTTACGCGATAAATGAAGACATCCAGTGGAGCTACTTAAACTGGAGCAGTAAATAACATCTGCATCCCCTATCTGAGCAACTGGTACTGCACTATTAACAAGCTCTTGGGAACCAGTCTCAGAAAATGCATGTGAATTAGTCATTCCTATACAAACCCAGACCCTATTTGTTGTGTTAATTGTGATTTTGAGTGCAGCTATGTACACCACCTTATGGCTTCATGCTGTGTCATCTTCCTGATTTTGATAGGATTCTTTGGGTCTACATAGGAGGAGACAGGGTAGCCCATCATAATTGGCAGAGTGATGCCAAAAGCAGGTGCACTGCCAGTTCAGAGCTCAGGCCAGATTGCTAATGCCATGCTGCATTTCCAGTAGACCAACCAGCCGGGGCTAGACACCATTATCTGGGGAAATGGCATCCCTTATCCCCCCTCAGGCTTCCAAGATACAGGAGTATTTGGGGTCCATACAGCCTGGCTTTTACTGCCACTTTTTACCTAGCACCATCAAAGTAACTGCATTGGTGACTTGTTACAAGTGCACCAGGGTATAGTGATCAGCAGTAGCCTGTTTACAGGTTTTTGTATTATTCCCTAATGCCTCCTGAGCGTACGTGGAGAATAATAACAGTAAAGTTCTCCCGATTGGATTTCATAAATAGAAACTTTTTATTAGCTGATATAGATTTGCTGGCATCAATTCCTGACTACTCGAAAGAGGGAACAAATGCCTGTTGTATCCTGCATGAGGCTGTAGGAAAGGTTTGTAGGCCAAGCCTCCCAAAATAAGGGTGAGTTTAGGGTTTTACTCTGAACCTAAAACAACTGCACAGGTCCACAAATATGCAGCAGATCTAGGCTGTGCTGTTCAGTCAGACCAGCCCCACTACCTGCACGATACGCACCTGCTGAGCTGCCCTCTGCCAAATCAATTTGCTCCCTCTCCCTTTGTTTATGTTTTGGGAAGCGAGGCCATGCCTACGTCCTGGTGGCCTCCTCACTTGCCCTCGCTGGACACTGGGTAGCCACTCCCTCTGTTACATAGTTCAGCCTCCTCCCCCCCTCCCCAAAGGGAGTAGAAACATTTGAAATGTTGCTGTTCTTACTACTACTGACTGCTGCGCTGAAACAGGGACATATATAACCCACCCCACCTGGGCTGAAAGCTGGGTTTGAACCCAGGAGCTACTAATCTACAGGCATGAGCCTCTAGCACATGAGCTAAAAGACTTGTTTCCCATAGTTAGCGGCAGTAGCAATGGCCCGGTCAGCAGAAGGGGACAAAGAAGCACTCTTCCCCGATGAGAGAAACACAGATGCTCCTATTATGATGGCTAGTGGCTCTGGGGGATCCTAACACAGTTTCTAGGGAATGCCCAGTACTCCCCACATACTATAAAAATTATGATGTGTCTGTGTTTTATTGGTCACTGTGTTGCAGCCCACACGACCCAAATTCTGCAGGATTTACCTACCTCAGATTATGTACTGAATAGCAAAAAGGAGATGCAGATGCTTGTGATCCATCTAATGGGGGAGTGCTGGAACAATTTATATAGTGGGGGTGCTGAGAGCCACTGAACCAAACTGAAAACCCTGCATATGATAGAAACCACTTCAAGCCAGAGGGTGCGGGAGCATCCGCAGCACCCTTAGTTCCCGCACCTATGCTCTAATGGCCATGTTCTTTAAGCTAATGCTGTCAGAGAGGCAAGATATGAAGGGATTGATCCTATTTCATAACACACTGAGGACTTTGTTGAGGATTTGGAGAGAGATTACCTAATGTAGACACACACAAGTGAAATATCCGACTTCCCAACCTAAATAAACTCGGGGGCTGAGAGCGCTGCTGCCTGAAGTGCTTTCAATATTAGTGGGTGGAAAGATGACTTTTGTGGCTGATTAGTTAGTGAGGAGCCATTGGCTCTCTTTTTTAGCATAGACACCCAGGTTGTCCTGTACTGTTGCACAGACTGAAGAACCCTGTATGGAGCAGCGTTGAGAAGCACCAGCTGAATTGCTCACTGGTCTTATCTCTTATAGACCTTTTTCCCAACAGAATTTTTTAGTCCTCCATAAAGCCAATCTGAGTCACACTCCAGGCATGGTGGTAATGCTGTGTTGCTAGTGGACAAGTAGATACACCACAAAACTGCCCTAACTGGAACCCTCGTTGGCAGTCCCAGCAGAGCCAAAGACTGAAACCTCCTCTCCACAGAGTTAGTGCCATCAAAACAGCTTTTGGGCAGGCTGTGAGGAAAGTTTACACTGCTGCTGCCTGTTCCGTATGTGTTCTGTGGCCCAACACAGGACTGCCTTGTCCAGCTGTAACTTCTTGCAAGCACAACGTTCACTTAAAAACCCTTTCTTATAATAAATTAAAAAAAAAAAAGTGACCGTGATCAGCCACTCTTAGAGGCACGCGTGTGTGTTACAGAGCTTTTTGTGACTCAGTTTTACAGTGATTTAAGCCTTCCAGTATGATGAAAATTTACATAACTCTGCCACCTGGTTTGGTTGCTGAAGTTTGTGCAATCTGCTTTGCTTTTAAGCAAAGACAGAACCTGATTTAGCATCCTATTTGCTTATGCTGTTTCCTGGGGGAATCTCTTGGCACAAGATCAGGCATTTTTCATCTCTATATTCAGGAGCCTGCTGTGAGCACTGACTGCTCAGCGTCTGGAAAGTATTGATTACTTGAGCCATCGTTTTGACTCCCAGTATTGTAGGCAGAGCTAACAATATCCATACCCACTTTCATTCTAAAACTCTGTTTTCAGTTACTTTTAACTTTACAAAACTTCAACAGTTTGGGCTGAAATTCCCCATGTTGGATGTCTGCCTCAGGTCTGAATTTTTTAGGAAAACTTCAGGGAAAATGGTCCAGCCTTTTCTGACAATGAGATTGGGGGATAAATATGCTGTTTTGTGCATTCTGATTTTTTTTAACTGCTTAGCTGAGAAACTCTAATGCCTGCATGCTTTGGAGCAGGGACTTGACATTTGGCAGGGTGTGGCAGTGATGTGCCTTTTGCCATCCTTGTGCCGGTTTGCCCAAATTTGCCCACATTATAAGACTTTGAAAAATATCAGTGCATGCATGTTTAGTCAAGACTTGCTAGAGTTTATCAATGAAATTCTCTAAAGAATGCTTCAGCCCGAGGGACAATGACTGAGCAGGATTTCCTCTGCAATTGCTGTTCCTGGCTAACATGGGCCATGTTAGGAATTAAGAGACTGAGATTTTCAAGGAAAGGTTGATGTTGATGGTGGAGCTATATAAAATCACCGTGTTGTGCATTTATACTCCTATAATTATCTGATGAGCCGCAGTTCATTAACAAGGGCAGTACAACAGTTCTGCTGACTTCAGCGTTGATGCTGTTGCACAAACTAAATAGAGTACACAAATAAGGCCAAGCTGATGTCAAACTCCATGGTTTGGAAGCACAACTGAGGCTGAGGTGGGGTTGAGAGTTTAGAGGCAAATGGGAAGGGACATGTTAAAAAAAGGGAATCCTTGTTTGCTAAATGGAAAAGCACAAATTGTTAAGAAAAAATGTTCATTTCCTGAGCCCCTAAGGCACTACTGGAGAAAATAACCCTGAAACTACCCAAAGCATTTAACTATGTCCAGTCAAACATGCAGAATTTTTGCATTTGAGCTTTATTTCCTTCCTGTCAGAACAATAGGCTCATGACCTGATCCTAAGCAGAACAATTACTGTTCACTGCCACTGCTTTTAAAAGAGACAGAACTTTACCCAAATGAAATACCTACTTTTTACTATGTAAAAAAAAATCCTTCTACCTAAATGTTTGAAACACCTTTTCATCTAGAAAAATGGCTTTTTAATACTTTCCAGACACAACTTTACAACTACACCACTACCTCAATATAACGCCACCCAATATGACACGAATTTGGATATAACGCGGTAAAGCAGTGCTCTGGGGGGGGGGCGGGGCTACGCACTCCGGTGGATCAAAGCAAGTTCAATATAACACGGTTTCACCTATAACGCAGTAAGATTTTTTTGGCTCCCGTTGACAGCGTTATATCGAGGTAGAGGTGTACTAACTGTCCTCACAACACCACTATGAAGTAGGTAGTAATTTAAAGGATGGGGGAATCAGGCAGCTAATGTAGGTGACTTGTTCAAGGTTACAGGGGAAGTCAGTATTAGAACAGGGATGGCTTTCATTCCCAGGGTCAGACATCTCCTTTTCCTAATAAAATTAGATGGGCCCCTTTCTGTTTAAGAAAAAAATTGGCATGTTGTTGCCTTTTAGACTGTCACCTTTGATAGCATCTGTAGCTAGTAGCTGGTCTGTGTTTTTCAGGTATGTACACAGCACGATGATGTGGGACTCTCTGTATTCTTGTGCCAGTATTTACTCAGGGGCACCTGCACGGTATGAACCGCTGCTCTCTCTCTCTCACTGGGCGTAGTTAATTGGATAACCAAACAGATGTGCCCAGATCAATCCAGTCATGAAATTGCCACAGAAATGTAAATAGAAGTGTGTGTAATTCAGCCATAATTACACATACCGGTATGCCTTGTGACTTATTGAAATTAAAGAACACACTTTGAAAAATAACAGTATTGTCAAGGTCTCTTTTCGATTTGTTAAAAATAGTTTTCCCTCTTCCCTAAAATAACTCTTTGGAAGCTTGAAAACAAAATCTGCTTCTTTGCTGATCTTACCTCCCTTCCGACATTTGTGAATGCACCAGCACTAGGCTGTTTTGTTATTTTATGGTTGCTCATAAGCACTGGATTGTTGACCCTGAGTATTACTTTCCTATTTAGAAATAATGACAGCTGTGAACCAATTCCTTCTTCAAAAATACATATATAAAGATGTGTAAAGATGTATAGAGCTATTTAGATAGGTATATAGAGAGACAAAGTCTTCATCAGTAATCAGTACATTTGTCCCAAATCTGATTAGTGTTAATACTATGAACTTACATACAGTATCAAACACAGACATTGATCTAATTTGAAAAATGAGGGACCCAGTCTCAGGTGATGCTGAATGCCCTCAGCTCAGCAGGATTGCAAGAGGTGCTCAGCACCATTCTGGATTGGGCCCGTAGGCTATGTCTACCCTGCAATTAGACACCCACGGCTGGCCGGTACCAGCTGACTCGGGTTCGGGCTGCTGGGCTGTTTCATTGCAGTGTAGACGTCCGGGCTCTGGGACCCTGGCACCTCACAGGATTCTAGAGCCTGGGCTCCAGCCTGAGCCCAGAAGTCGACACTGCAGTGAAACAGCCCTGCAGCCTGAGCCGGCTGGCCGGGTCAGCCACGAGTGTCTAATTGCAGTACATACATACCATATGTGTCTGTAAAACGTAGTATAGTCCAAACATATGAATGGGAGTGACAAAACCCCATATCAGGATGTAGCACTGTAATAATTTTGGTCCGATGTGGCTGTTGAGGGCTGCACTTTTGATCCCTTTTTCTTTGAACATTAGCTCTCCTGAGTCAAGACTTGGCTGTAGCATGGTGTTTCTACTCTCTCAGGTACTCATTCCAAGATGAGGAGGACATGTTCATGGTGGTGGATCTACTTCTTGGAGGAGATCTGCGTTATCATCTACAGCAAAATGTTCGATTTCAAGAAGCCACTGTGAAACTCTTTATCTGTGAGCTGGCATTGGCACTGGACTATCTCCAGAGCAGACACATCATCCACAGGTCAGTCATGGGCTTCAAAGGTGGGTTGATGTTGACATTCTGTTGTTGTGTCTTGGTACGCATTACCTTATGGTTGAGGCAGAACCAGTGGAGGTGATTTGTTTTAAACCTTAGCTATGAGAAAAAGACATCAGCTTGTTACTGAATATCTCTGAGTCACAGCTGCTAACTTTACTCATTTTCGATGCCATCCACTAAGTGGAGCAAGGTGCATTCCGTTCTGCCTCATGCATCATTGCTCCAAAGTTAGTCACTACATTCTGATTCATAAATCTTTATGGCTGATGATATACAAAGCAGAAAGAGCACAGCTTGATTTTCTGTTAGCAGGGGAGCCTGCTCTGTTAGTTGTAAGAAAAATGTTTTAATTTGTAAACTGAGGTAATTTGATAGGGAAATCATTGTTGGAAAGTAAATGTGATCATGTTCAGAAAATAATAATACCTAGCCACCTGTATGGTGACTTTTACTAGAGAACCTCAGAGTGCCTTACCAAGGAAGTATTTTTATCTCCTTTTAACACAAAGGGAAATTGAAGCCTAGTGAAGTTAAGCAACTTGCCCTGTATCCTACAGAAGTCAGTAGCAGAATCAGGACTCCTGAGAAAGGCTTCAAGTTCTAACCACTTGACCATGTCTGGGTCCAAGTTGCATTTTTACAAAATAATTGTTTTAAACTGTACTTTGGCCAACTTTTCTTGGTTCAGGTCTTTCCCACTGCTCAGGTTTGGGAAGCACTTTGGAGGCAATGTATAGCTATAGAAATTAGAAGTGAAAAAGGTATATTAAGTCATCTGCTTCATTCCACCCAGGTCAGTGTGGGATACATAGCTTCTGGAACACCTCACATCATTCAACAGTGAAACTTGTAGGAGCATGGACAGACTATTAAGGAAGTCTTTTCCAGGCTGCCTTGGTTGGGAGGAGGGTGCCCAGGATGTGGAGCATCAGGATGAGGTAGAGAGTCAAAGCTAGAGGAAATGTTCTATGTAAGGGACTGCAGATGGCTCCCCTTTCCTGACAAACGAGAGTGGATATAACAGTACTCATCTGTCTTGTCCCTCACTGATATGGAAGGAGAAGCAGAAGCTTAGGGACAGGGCAGAAAACTCATATTTGTGTCTTCCTGAAATCTTTCCTTAGAGAAGTTTAAGGTTTTAAATATTTCTAATGCGGAGAGCACGCTATTTCCCTCCCTTAGGCAGACACCATAGAATATTTTTCCACTCATCCTGCAAGAAGATATAACTACTAGATTTAATTATCTCCAGCTCCTCAATGTCAGACCTATCCATTGAAGGAAATGCAGTGGAGAGAAGGCACCTCTATTGGGACCTCTGTTGTTGCATTTGAAGTTGTAGGCAATAGGGCTAACTCTCTGTAAGAAACAGAAGGAAGAGGAATGGAAATAAATGCCCCTTCTCCTATATGTGAATTAAATGCCTCTCTCAATGTTGGGAATTTCTCACTGGAGTTTGTGCATGGCCAATGAAGCACAATTTAAGTTCTTCCAACCAATGAAAGACCTTCTACTGTCTTATGTCTATGTGGTATTTCTGTAAGCATGAATGGTAGCTCCAGTAGGATACAGGGTAGTAGTATATGGCAGAAGGAAACTGCCCCTGCGGTTCACAGGATACCACCTGCTCTGCAAGGTATCTATCACAAGGGGGAAAAAGAGAACTTTGATAACAGGTGATCTTGAAGGTGACCTTGAATTTCCACATCTCCTGTTCTGATTCCTTTCCTTTGCTTGCTTTATTCAGCTATGTTGGGTGGCAGGGAATGTTCAAAATTTGGAGGAAGTGATTACTTGCTTTTAAAAATACCCATAAGAATAACAAAACTAATTACAATCAGCCCTCAGGGCCTAATTGCAACCATCCCTCAGAAGAATAATTTCATGGAAACTAATTATTACAACTGAACACTACCAAAGAAGAATGTATATTTGTCTTTTAAAGTCTGATTTAAAAAAAAAATTATTATTGACTGAATTACTAATGTGAGATTAAAAAATAGTGTATGCAGTACAGAGAAGTGATAGGTCACTTTCCATCACAATCCCATTATGATTGATATTTGGTATGTTTTACCTCAAAGAGGCAGTAATGTCAGGCTCCAAATGCAGACATTACTGGTGGGATTTTTTTTAACTTCTGGAACAATGATACAGCTTAATTAGACAACTAGTTATAAAAATACAGTAAATGTGATGCCATAGGGTGAATCTGATGCCTTCCTTCTCTCTGTAAAACTCACTGTTTTAATCAAAATAATAGGAATTGGCCAATATGCTGCATTTGTACATCATGACCATATTCTCTGCTGGTATAAATGGATGAAACTCCATTTAAGTCAATGGAGCTATGGCCATTTATATCAGCAGAGAATTTTTCTCTCTTTCAGTTTATAATAACACATATTTCTATTACCTCTCATTCTGAATGATCACAAATATCTTTACAAACCTAATAATCTGATGTACAAACTGTACACAAGGTTCAAGTCATTCTACATTGAAATGCAGCCATCACAGGGGAGAAGCACAGCCACTGTTTGTTTTTCAGTGCACAGCAAATAACATGCAACAATTTAAGTCAGGAAGTAAAGGATACACCCTGCCCAGTTACAATTACTTTGGGAGCTTATGTAGGCGCTTAGATGCTACAGTGATTGGTGGAGGGGGGAAGGCATAGAAGTACCAAGAGAGAGAAGTGAAAATGACCTAAAATAAAATGTAGCTAGGATCTCGGTTAGCACCCTACTCTTGAGAACAGTGCCATGAAATCTTTAATAGCCACAAGTTATCCAGATGTTGTTTTAACAATTTATCTCAAAGATGCCATTTCCATCAACAGACGGCTGCCTAATATCATGTTAGGACATTGGTTCAGTACTGACTGAGAGGAACAAATGTCATCTACTGAATCACTAATGCCAGCCCTGTGGTACTCTGTGTTTTCCTTGGAGCTTTCAATAACTTCAATACAAGGATAGACCACCCTAGTGATACCTTACATAAGAACAGCCATACTGGGTCAGACCAATCATCCATCTAGCCCAGTATCCGCTCTTCCAACAGTGGCCAGTGCCAGATGCTTCAGAGGGAATGCACAGAACAGGGTAATTATCGAGTGATCCCATCGTCCAGTCCCAGCTTCTGTCAATCAGAGGTTAGGACACCCAGAGCATGGGGTTGCATTCCTGGCCACCTGGACTAATAGCTATTGATGGACCTATCCTCCATGAACTTATCTAATTCCTCTTTGAACCCAGTTATACTTTTGGCCTTCACAGCATCCCCTGGCAATGAGTTCCACAGGTTGAAGAAGTACATCGTTATGTTAGTTTTTATCCTGCTGTCTATTGATTTCATTGGGTAACCCCTGGTGCTTGTGTTATGTGATATGGTAAATAACACTTCCTTATTCACTTTCTCCACAACACTCATGATTTTATAAACTTCTATCATATCCCTGCTTAGTCGTCTCTCTTCTTAGCTGATAAGTCCCAGTCTTTTTAATTTCTTCTTATATAGAAGCTGTTCAATACCCCTCATTTTTGTTGCCCGTCACTGAACCTTTTCCATCTAATATATCTTTTTTTGGATGGGGTAACCAGAACTACGTGCAGAATTCAAGGTGTGGGCGTACCATGGATTTATATAGTGGCATTATGATATTTTCTATCTTATTATCTATTACTTTCCTGGTGGTTCCTAATAATCCAGTAGCTTTTTTTGATTGCTGCTGCACGTTGAGGAAATGTTTTCAGAGAACTATCCACAATGACTCCAAGATCTCTTTCTTCAGTGGTAACAGCTCATTTAGACCCCATCGTTTTGTATGTACAGTTGGGATTATTTTTTCCAATGTGCATTACTTTGCGCATATCAACACTGAATTTCATCTGCCATTTTGAAGCAGAGTCACCCAGTTTTATGAGATCCCTTTGTAACTCTTTGCAGTCCGTTTTGGGCTTACCTATCTTCAGTAATTTTGTATCATCTGCAAATTTTGCTACCTCACTGTTCACCGCCTTTTCCAGATCATTTATGAATATGTTGAATACTTTCACTGGTGCCTCTTATTTTGCGTGACCATATAAATCAGTTTGCCATTCTGATGGCAAAGAATGTAGGGAGGTTTAAATCAGTTAGCTGTAAATGATCATTTAGAATCGCGAGAGGCATAAGTTCCCCTTATTCTTCCACATGATCTTCTGTTATGGCAAGAGGCCTGCAACACTGATCGTATGTTCCATTCAGTGGAATCTCACTGCTTGCGTGTTGTTTTCAAATGACCAGCAGATGCCTACTGATTCTTTTGATTGGCCTTGGTAGCACATGAGTTTCTGGTGTAATGTGTTATTCCAATGACAGGTTCAGTAGAAATCCACTAAAGATTTTCAGTCTTTACTCAGGCAAAAAAACAATTAATCCAGTGGAATTTTGTTTGAGTGAGGACTGTAGGATTTGGCTTTAAATGGATAAATTGGTTGCATCAAAGTATTGTTACTTCCTGCTTCTGCTACAGTATGCATTACTAACATAACACACCAGAGGCCTTTGGAATGAATATCTGTTAATAGAGAACACAGCTAAGGAATATAAAAAAGGGAAGAAGAGAATGAATTTAAAATTTGCTACAATAAGATTTATATAATAATAATAATTCCATGAAATCAGCTCAGCAAGAAACTCTGAGGTGCGAAGCTGTAGAAACAAGGCACTGCACAAAATTTAGAATACAATATGATTAAGAACACAATATAGTAAAAAAAAAAAACCCCAATATATTAATGAACGTTAGAATGAGTCAGCGTCACTAGACAGGGAAGGAACATCCTACTCAGGAGACAGTGAAGCTTAAAATACCTTTGAGTCTGATATTTTACAAATGTGACAAACAGCAAAAGGCCTGGCTTTTTAATATTCTCATAGGAATAATTCACCCCTCAATTAAGAAGAATCCCAGCCCTGTTGAAAAGTTCAGCTCT